GCTGCTTTGTGCCTCTCCGTTGTCCTGCTCCTCGTCGCCGTCTGCTGCCGCTCCGACGTCGACTTCATCTACCAGGGCTTCCAGCACGCGCCCAACCTGAGCCTGGACGGGTCGGCGTCGGTGCTGCGCGGCGGCGCGCTCCAGCTCACCAACGGCAGCGAGCGCCTCGCCGGCCACGCCTTCTACGGCTCCCCCGTGGCTCTGGGCACGCTCGACAACCAGGGAGACCTCGCGGTCACCTCCTTCAGCACGGCCTTCGTCTTCGACATCGTGACCATCGGCACCGGCGGCGGCCACGGCCTCGCCTTCGTGGTGGCCCCGTCCAGGGCGCTCCCCGGGGCGTCGCCGGAGATCTACCTCGGCGTCCTCGGGCCGACCACCAACGGAAAGGCCTCCAACCACGTCTTCGCCGTCGAGTTCGACACGGTCACCGACCTGGAGATGAAGGAGACCAACGGCAACCACGTCGGCGTCGACGTCAACAGCCTCGTGTCCAACGTGTCCGAGCAGGCCGCGTACTACACCACCGGCGCCGACGGGGAGGACAGGAAGATGCCCGTGAAGCTGGAGAGCGCACAGCAGATCCAGGCGTGGATAGACTACGACGGCGGTACCAGCTTGCTCAACGTGACCGTCGCCCCGGTGTCCGTGACTGACCGACCGCAGCGGCCGCTCATATCGACAAAGCTTGATCTCCGGTCGGTCTTCAAGGAGAACATGTACATCGGCTTCTCTTCAGCGACCGGGAAGCTCGCGAGCTCGCACTACATCCTGGCATGGAGTTTCCGGACTAATGGGCTCGCCCAGCCCATTGATCTCCGGCGGCTGCCGAAGGTCCCGAGGCAGAGAACGCCGGCTCCCAAGGTCCTCATCATCAAATTTGCCGCCGTGGCTTGTGCAGGGACACTCGCTTTGGTTGCCGCGGCGATGGTTACTGCGCTCTGGCTCCGGCATAGGGCGGCGCTCGCCGACAAGATGGAGGACTGGGAGCTAGAACACCCCCAGAGGATTCCATACATCGAGCTCTACAAGGCGACCAAGGGGTTCAAGGAGAGCGGGCTTCTCGGCTCGGGTGGTTTCGGCCACGTGTACAAAGGTGTGCTCGGACGTCGTCGGTCCGGCTCCGGCTCCGGCTCCGCGTCCGGCGAGGAGGTGGCCATCAAGCGGATCTCCAGCGGCACCAAGCAAGGGATGAGGGAGTTCGTGGCGGAGATCTCGAGCCTCGGGCGGATGCGCCACCGTAACCTGGTGGAGCTGCGCGGGTGGTGCAAGCATGGCGATGACCTGCTCCTCGTCTACGAGTTCATGCCCAACGGCAGCCTCGACGCGCACCTGTTCGGCGGGGGCAAGGTGCTCACGTGGGCGCAGCGGCTCAGCGTCATCCGGGGCGTGGCGCGCGGCCTGCTGTACCTGCACGAGGAGTGGGAGCACGTGGTGGTGCACCGCGACGTGAAGGCTAACAACGTGCTGCTGGGCGCCGACATGGGCGCGCGGCTGGGCGACTTCGGCCTGGCACGCCTCTACGAGCACGGCGCGGCCCCGGGCACCACGCGCGTGGCCGGCACCCTGGGGTACATGGCCCCCGAGCTCACCGTGACCAGTCGAGCCACCACGGCCACCGACGTCTTCTCCTTCGGCGCGCTGCTGCTCGAGGTCGCGTGCGGCCGCCGGCCCGTCGAGCCGGGCGAGGCGGCGGACGTGATCCTTGTGCGGTGGGTCCGGGACTGCGGGCTGGACGGCGACCTGATGCGGGCCGTGGATCCGAGGCTGGATGGGTGCTACGACGCCGCGGAGGCGAGGCTGGTGCTGTGGCTGGGCATGGTGTGCAGCCAGGGCCGGCCTGAGGCGAGGCCAAGCATGAGGCAGGTCTGCCAGTTCCTCAACGGCGAGGAGGTGCTGCCGGAGGACGCCGTGCTCGTGTTCTCGGATCCTGACTCGTCCGTGTTCCCTGGGTCCGTGCTCTCCTCCATGACCTGGTCCTCCTCCTGTGGCACCATGTCGGTCGGCTCGCTGCATGGCGGCCGGTGAGCTGTGGGGTACTAGAAGGTTAACTAACTTGTCTAGATGTATTGCGCATGTGCACTTCGCCATGGATGCCCACTTGTTCTGTGTGTACGAGTGAAAGGGTGTTTGTTTTCAAAGACTTATTGGCTTAGGGACTTAAAGTGGGCATTTAGGACTTATAAAATAAGACTCTCAAGCAGGGACTTATAGGGACTTATAGTTGTAATATGGTCTTATAGGGACTTATAAGTTCCAGGGACCAAACAGGTACGGATTTTTTAGGGACTTCAGACTTATAAGTTGGGACTAAAAAAAGTCCTAGGACTTATGAACCAAACATGGCCTAAGAGTAGAATGCATTGAAGATCATAAACCTACATCGTGTGTGTTAGCTAGGTCACATAAATATGGAAAGAGAATGAACATCCTAGTAAGATTTCGTACTCCCTCCGTTCTAAAATATAGTGTTTTCTCTATTCCCGTGCTTCAACTTTAACCATAAATTTAACCAACGAAACCGATTGCGGTGGGAGCAAAAGTTATACCAGTATATTCGTATTTAAAAGAAATTTTTAATTATATAATTTTTTTCTCCCGCCGCATTCGGTCTCGTTGGTTAAATTTATGATCAAAATTAGACCTCGCAAAGCGCGAGCACACTATATTTTGGAATGGAGGGAGTATGTCTGTATGGGGCGATGGCTAACACCACCAGTCAACCTTATCCTTTCCCATCGCTATTGACCGCTCAGCCTTTCCTTTCACTGAGACGCTTCTCTTTCTCCTCCTCTTACATCTCCCCGTACCGGCAGAGTGACTCCTCTGCTGATCCTCCACCCTCCTCTCCACTCCTCAGGTGAGCCCAAGGCAGTAGATTCGCCTCCTGGTGATAGAGTCCGGCGAAGCAAGATACTGCAACAGCGCCCCGGCGAGCTGCAACGGTGTCCTGGACCGCGCGTCGTGGTATGCTGCAACGGCGCCGCGGCGAGCTAGAATCGGCGACTCCCTACACTGCGCCCCCGTGTGGCGTGCTGCAACCGGCCGTAGAGGAGTTGCAACCACCGATACAACGTGCTGCCACCCGAGACGAGGAGTGCTACCACGGTCATGCGGCAAGCGAGCAAAAAAAAATTGTTGGAACCAGCCTTCTTCCCCGGCTTGTAATGCGGCTCGGCGAGCTAGGTGCTCCAACCGGTGATCTTGTTTGCTGGAACCCAATGAATTTTTTGCTAGAACCAAATTCTCTTCCTGAGCTGCGACGGTGAGGCGGATTTTTGCTGCATTTGTTGTCTGTAGAATTTTTGCTCGAACCAGATTAAATTGTTGCTGGAAATGGCTGTGTTTTTTTTGCTACAATTGATTTTGACATAGATTTGTTGTTTTGTGAGATTTTTTGCTGGAACCAGTGTTACAACCGGTTGTGACATATGCTGGAACCGTAGGTCGCTGGTGGTCGTTTCCCACAAAATTGCTGGAACCGGCGGTGAATTTTGTTGGGACTGCATCATGTTTTTGCTGGAACCATAGTCGCCATAGAAGATGCGGGGGTGGATGTTTGTTACCTCCGGCGGGCAGCGGCGAGCCGGCAGCAGGGGAGGAGGTGCGGGGGCGCGCTGGAGTGGGGTAGTGATTCAGGCGGGGGGAGAAGGTGTGTGGGATTCGCAGGGGCGACGAAGACGACGACTGATCGACCGTGATCAAACGGTTCCGTGGGGCTCCGTATTAGGCAGATCGAATGACCCTCGCGGGACCGGCCGAAATTTTCGACCGTTGCGCCAACGCCTATCAGTCACCATAAATCAAATAGACACACTGGGCCTATTCATACATGACAAGTGCTGAAAATTTAGTCCCACAATGCTAATGGACAGTGAGTTAGAACAACAACAATAACAAAGAATAACAGTAACTCTGTGGTCTATCTGGTATGCTAGAAGAAACTTGATTCATGAAGGGATCAACCAAAGTCCATATGGAACACACAATTTTGTTATCAACTTCATAGATGAACTGGACCAACTGAATGTGCGACCAGAACATCCCTTGTGGACAGCTCCTGGACAAGCTCACCAGACCTTCAATTGGATCCGTCGGCTGAGGGTTTTATAAATATCAATGTTGACGCTGGGATTTCCACTGAACATAATGTGGGTACAACTGCTGATGTGTGTCGGGACCGAGATGGCACTTATATGGACTCTTCCATGTTGGGTTTTTTTTTAGGCAAAGATTTTATTACTCAAAATGAAGCATAAAGAGGATACAAACACAGTGAGCATACACACGACCTCTGCATAGATAGGATGTAGATAGCCAACACCAATGCACACACAGAAAAACCGCCGGCAAATAGCAAAGTCATATAAAACTAAAGCTATGCCTAAGCGAGGACAAAGAAAAATGCCCTGAAGCGATCAAAATCGCGATCAACAAACTACAACAATGGGCTCTTCCATGTTGGTTATCCAAGGCTTGATTGATCCTCCAACGCTTGAGGCTATTGCATGCAGGGAGGGTCTCTCTTTGGCCCAAGATCTTGGAATGGTACACCTCCAAGTTGCTTCAGATTGCAAGCAGGTGATACATCATATACATCAAAGAGCTGGAGGGGATTACGGCACAATCATTAAAGAGATTTTAGATACTTATCTTTCTTTTGCTTCTTGTAATTTTTCTTTCGAACCTCGAGCTGCCAACTATGAAGCTCACATGCTAGCTAGGTATGATGTTTCTCTTCCGTTGGAGAGGCATCTATGGCTGGGTACTCCTCATGACTCAGTTGTCATTCCTGCAAACATTTTAACTAATCAATAAAAGCCTGGCAAGCTTTTTCATCAACAAGTGTCTTTCTGTTCCAAACAGGTTGAAGCATCTAAACTCTGCACTTTTAATCTGTATTAACTTCATTTGAGTACATCTACATGAAGAGAAAATGTGTACTATCAATCGACGGGAAAACCAAGAAACGTTGATCAGTGCCACAACTGGCCTCACTATCAATCGACAGGAAAACCAAGAAATTCGTTGATCAGTGCCACAACTGGCCTCGCCTCTCCTGGAATGTACGGCTGGAGCGCATGCAGATCCATCGCCTCGACGGTTGCTCGCAGCGTCTGTGGATGGGCACACAAAAGGTGATTCCTCTCGGCCAGTTCCTCTGCTAACTCACTTTGGTGATTATCCATCAGATCTTCATTCACAACGACGATAAGAGGCTTGCCCAGTTGCAGCGTCTCAAATATGCTGCCAGAACCTGTCAGCAATAATAAGTTATTAACAAACAATAGCTTGGAATGCCTTTTCCAACCATTGATGTCGCTAAAATGTAACACCGACAGCATATTATTTTTCATAACCCCATTACTCTAAATTCTAAAATATAGCAAGTTCTCCAACAACAAAGTCCAACGGGCTACATAAAGGTGCAACTACAAGTCCTGATTCCGTGATCACTAATGACTAACGCCAATTCAGCAGGTACCTTTGTCCACCTTCTACAAAATTCACAGGAACTGACCACCTAGTAATGGACATATTTCGAAATGCTAAAGTCTGTAGTACTTATTTCCTTCTTGCCAAAAAAGTTACTTGAAGTTGAAACTACAAAAGGGGAATCAAAATCTGTAACATAAATTTCTACAGGTTTAAGTATTGTGACAATATCAGTGTGGAAGAGGTTTGCTTAGGGCAATATTGTTACAACAACCAATATACATAGGCCAAAGGATTTTTCTCATATTGTTCCATTATAGTTCTTTCAAGAAAATAAATCTATGCTTGATCAAATCTGCTTCAAGTATTGTTCCATTATAGTTCTCTCAAGAAAATAAATCTATTATTCAGATTTGATCATCACCTGCATGACTGATGACTAAGGATGCTTCTCGTATGTTGTCAGCTATGCTTGGTAAAAAGGTGAAATGCTCAACTTGAAGATTTGAATTTCCTGAGGCCTATATTCAAGAAGAAAAGGCTAAATCCATGCTACATTCACACACTTATAATCGTTACACACAAACCACAATCGTTGATCATGGTACAGTGAAGCAGAAGACATTAGATAGTATGTAAGAACTAGGACTTAAGTTGGCCTTCTGGTCTGTCGTTTATTTTAAGTATATAAGGTGCAGTTAATATTTAGAAACCAAATTATATGCTCTATCTTGGACATAACAAAGTGGTGCAATATGGAAATGAAGTTTATATCCATAAGAAATCAATTAACATATAAGTGAGTTAGTTCCCCATTTTTCCATCAGATCCTTCATTATCCGGTTCATTTCTACCTTATAATGCATAAAAGCCTAACTGTAACGGTGTAACCGAATTCTGGATTTCAGCCTATAATACTATATATAGGATGCACCAGTTTGCCAGACTTCAAATATCATAGTTAGCACACAAAAAATGTAAAACAGTGCGAACTTGCCTGAAGTGCGGACAATCAATTTTTTTTACCCTGATGCTGCATATGTTCCTTTTTTTTGGCCACCTATCCTGTTTAACTTTATCCTACATTTTGCAAGTTTGAGATTTTTTTTCATGTGATAAGTATGGTATATGCATCAAAAGAAGTAGATTATTGTAGCATTAAAAGTATCAGCACCTCTAAGGATGTCACAATTTGTCACATAAACATCTTCATGCAATTTCTTTCCACAAGCAATGAACAATCTACCACCTAAATGTCAAATCAGCAGTTATAGATCTCAGTTGATCAAATACTATGTCCATTTCAGGATTGATAAGCACCATTAAAAATCCATTACTCCTTGCAGTAGTAAACCTGACGAGATAACAAAACATTATCTGACTTCCCCTACTTTCCTATTAAGTACTGTGATTTTGATAACAAAATACTGCATTAACTAAAAGGTGCAGTCCGCCAGTCACTAAACGAAACCACACAAAGAGAATAGAATGCAATACGGAGACAGATGTTACCTTGGATGGCGTGTATGTTCCTCGGCCCATTTGAATCCGAAGGTCTGTGTAACCTTTCTGCAGTAGTGCTTGTTTGACTTCCTCAGAATCTACCACTTTGACAAGAGCATCAAAACATGTCGTCCCTACTGTCACAAACACCATTCGCCTTTCTCTATCTCCCATCTCTTCTGAAGAGTTAAGCTCTGTAGAAAAACATGACAAAATGACATCTGGCTCGATATAGCACACAATGATATAATTCATCCCATCATCACCCATATTCCTCAACTCGGTTTTCTTCTTCTATTTTTTCTACGAAACGCATCAAATTGAGTTCCATCAACACATTACACATACACACAGTACACAGTTCCATTAGGTGCATACACACTGTGACATTATTGGGCAAGAAAACGATAAAATTACCGAGTGCAGCGCGACGGCCGGGGAGTAGGACGGCGACGCGGATTCGTGGGTGGTTGGGCGCAGAGGAGGCAGGGCCCGGCGGCCGGCGGTGGAGCAGCGACTATGTACAGACCTCAGCCCGGGGCGGACAGCACCACGGTGGCGGTAGCCAGCAGAGCGCGCGGGGCGGCGGCGGTCTGCAGGAGCTCGTCGGCTAGGTCGTGCCGCCGTGGTTGGCAGATCCTATTTGCCGAAAATGGATTGTTTTGTTTTCTTACCTTTTTCTGCTTATTTTCTCCTTTTTTCTTTTTTCCTAAATTCAAAAAATGTTCAGAATTCCAAAATTTCAGAAAATGATCGAAATTCCAAAGTTGTTCACGTTTTCAGGAATTGATCATGTTTTTCAAATTTGTTCACGTTTTTCAAATTTTGATCAGATTTTCAAAAAAAAGTTCACCGTACATTGGAAAAAAATGTTCATCATGTATAATTTTTTTGCATCAAATGTATAGAAAAAAATTCAGCGTGGATTTGAAACAAAAAACCACCATATATTTTCAAAAAGTTCAGTATGTATTTGAATAATGTTCACCGTATAATAAGAAAATGTTCGGTGTGTATTTTTTTCATAGTTCAAAAACATTGTCCGGAACTTGAAATTCGTTCACATTTTCAAAAATTATGTTCCTTCACCTTTTTTAAATTTTGTCCACTTTTTCAAAAAATGTTCACGTTCCAAAATTTTGTTCAAATTTATTCGCATTTAAAAAAAATTGTTCACATTCCAAGAAATTGTTGAATATTTTTCAATTTTTTTGGATCTGCCACTGCATCTTGTACTTATTAGTTCGCGCTGCCTATTAATCACAAACACGCACCAGCTCAAGTAGTATGGAACACCTGCTCTCACCAGTGTGGGGTTGCGAGTTTGATTCCTCGACAGAGTGCAGTTTCTTATGAAAAGATTTTAGTAGTCGCACAACACGGCTCGCTACGTCCGGTGTTTGACGCTAGAGCATCAGAGCATCTCTAACAGATCCCGTATAACACCGACCCACAAAACACGTTTACAGTTTGCGGAAAAAAAGCTATGCAGTTTGGCGCGGGCGGCGGCAGAGTCAGATCCCGCGTAGCGAAACTGTAAAACGGAATATCGGCCCGCAAAACCAATACGGTATTATCTGAATTTGACACATATGCACATTCAGAAAAAATATCAATAGCACAATACAACAATCATCTGCATTACAATAATTATTCAAATCACCGAAGCAAACTAAATAATTCAATATAAAACTTGTCCCGAATACAAATCACACATGAGTTAAATGAAAATGAGTAGAAAAATGAATTTTATTACTGCCCAACCCTTTGCCAATGATGCTCAGTGAGATCCTCCTGAAGCTGAAAGTGGATGTTTGCATTTTCAATCTCTTTGTAGGTCTGAAGAAAAGCTCTAATGCGATTAAGGTCTCTAACTGGTTTGGCACGGCTACCCACATTGTCGTAGAAGAACTTCAAGTTCATGCCTCTCTCATCTTCAGAATCATATTGTCAAGAATAACACAGCATGTCATGATGTTTTTCAAGGTCCGCTTGTCCCAAAAACGAGCATGACCACGAACAATGGCAAACCTAGATTGCAAAACCCCGAATACTCTTTCAATGTATTTTTGGCCGCGTCTTGAACCCTTGCAAATTCACATTGTTTCTTAGTTTTGGGTTCTTTGATACTCTTGACAAATGTGCACCAAGGAGAGTATATATCATCTGCTAGATAGTACCCCTTTGTGTATTCATGTCTATTGATAATGTAGTTGCAAGCAGGAGAACCACCACTAGCAAGCCTAGCAATGCCAAATCCATAAATCCTCGGATGCTACGGCATCTACCATAATTGTTGCATCACGAGACTTGCCACAATACATTCCCTGCCATGCCTTCGGGCAATTTTTTTCCAATTCCAATGCATGCAGTCAATGCTACCTAGCATGTCAGGCCAACCTCTCCTCTCATTAGATGCCATCAATTTTTTTGTGTCTTCCTCGTTGGGTGCCCGAAGATATTCAGGACCAAAGACACGGATGATCACTTTGGCAAACCTACGCACTGACTCAATTGTGGTATCTTCATCAATGCGAAGGTACTCATCGGCATAGTCAGCCGGAACGCCGTATGCAATCACCCACATAGTTGCCGAGATTTTTTGATATGCACTAAATCCCTTCAAGCCCACGACATTTCTTCTTTGAGTAAAATACCGACAATTTGCCTCGCAAGCTTGAACAATTTTCACAAAGAGAGATCGGCGCATTCAGTACCTTATCCGAAAGAGGTGTGGCGGATATGTTGGATTCTCCACGAAGTAGTCTTGCATCAACATCGTGTTCCCGAGATGGCGATTTTGAGGAATGTAAAGACGGCTGACGGTCGATCCTCGCCGCCTCTTTCGGTTCTCATCTTCGTGCTCCTTCACGGCAAGGGCCATCACCAACGTCTGCTAGCGATAGTTGGCAAGCAGCATCTCAACATCCGAGTCGTCCGAATCATCGAGCAAAAACTTCTCGCACAAGCTCAATTCCATCTACATGAACAAAAATCGCACGCCGCGTAACCAACTATGCATACCGCTCGGCACAAGCACAAGTAAAAACTCACCGGCTGCTCGGGGGCGGTCGATCCCGGGTGGCGACAACG